TCTTGAGTTTAGGCAGCTTTTCTCTCATTTTCACAGCTTTAATCCCTGAAATGAATCAGGAAGATGTTAGATTATTAGTATTTATTGTTATTTTAAACGAGGACGTCTTGAGTTTAGGCAGCTTTTCTCTCATTTTCACAGCTTTAATCCCTAAAACGAATCAGGAAGCTGTTAGATTATTAGTATTTATTGTTATTTTAAACGAGGACGTCTTGAGTTTAGGCAGCTTTTCTCTCATTTTCACAGCTTTAATCACTAAAACTAATCAGGAAGCTGTTAGATTATTAGTATTTATTGTTATTTTAAACGAGGACGTCTTGAGTTTAGGCAGCTTTTCTCTCATTTTCACAGCTTTAATCCCTAAAATGAATCAGGAAGCTGTTAGATTATTAGTATTTATTGTTATTTTAAACGAGGACGTCTTGAGTTTAGGCAGATTCTACGATCAGAGAGATGTTTCGGTTCCCATTTCTGAAAAAAGAAGCCTTTAGGAACTCGGTCTGGTTGGCTTTGCGTGAGCTTTTAGGATTCTCGTGGTTCGGATGCTCCTTTAAATGATCTGTGGAGAGAAAATACAGCAGTTCCTGAAGCCAACACAGACATAAATGCAGATATTTTACTGCCAGTTAGTTACAAAAAATGAGAAGTGGCTGATTTTTTTAGTTCTATGGGATAGAAAAGAAGTTAACAACCTGCAAAAAGACCTCATGCTTAAGTTTTCTGATCATATGTGTGTCTGGACGTTTAGTTTTTGCTCTTTTGGGGTGGAAATCAATCCAATCATTAAAAAAAAAAAGTCAATAATTGACCAGTTAGGTTTAGTTTTTTAAGTGAAAAGCAGACGAGATTTCCACCAAACATCCTCAGATTTCTGGAGTCTGAACTCGTTTTCCTGCGTGAGACAGAATTGATCCTTATCAAATCGATCCAATTATAATTAAATATTTGTATTTTTATCCATAATCCATGTTTGGATTTAATTAACAGAAGCCAACTAAACCTCTTTACTTGAAAATAAAAAGCATTTATTATGTAAACGTGCATCTGGGTCATTGGTTTAAAGCAAAT